ATGTTTTACCGTTAGTGTCCCTCCGAAGGAATTAGGTCTAGCCGTTTGACCGCCGAGTCAATAGTCCTAAACCCTGACCTTTCGAAAACCCTAATAGCCTAGACGTCCCGTTGTGGACGAAAACGCCCTTTACCATAACATTAGGTCAAAGAGTCGTCGTACTCTATTTTAGGGTTTCCCGTCGTGGAACATTTAGTCAACCCTAATTTTAACCCTAATCTCAATTTACAAATTCAACGTAGAAATAAGAGTTTCAAGACTCAATGTAAGCGCTTCCTTAAGAAACGTTTACTTCCCCATTGAAACCTTGACCATAGTCAAGACGTTTCTAACCTCCCTTTCGAGGGGAACTACAATTACTCTGATTCCATTCCCGTCAGGATATGTAGGCACAAGATGCGACGTCTTGCCAAGTAAACTTAGGACTAACCCTTAGGTCTTTTAGGTCACTCTATCCCTTAACTCGATATATATTTCAAACAAATAATAAAATAAAAAAGCATACTTTAAACAAAAGGTTCCTTTAGAGTACTACAGAAGTTTAGGTGTTAGTACCTTCCCTAAATTTAACCAACCCTTACCTAGGTCTCTCCCCGCATTGTGTTTACGATGCAAAAATAGGTTTTCCCTCTTTTGACCTTTTCCTTCGGATAAATCAAAGAGCGGTTGTGAATTGAATTGTGATTCAAACTAATTAATAGTTTGGTATCCTATTTCCACCGCAACAATGTGATAAAAGTGAATGTAAATGGTAGTTCCATTGGTAATACAATTTTTGTGGTCTTTTGAGAAACTCTTATAGAGGTTTGATCATAGGTTTTGTAGTAAGTTGTAGTTTCACCTCTAATATTAATATCAAGCTTCAAGCCAATTCTCATGGTCTTGATATTGTTTGGAATCATGGTTTCAAAAATGTGATTTGCGAGTCTGACTCTCAAACGACTCTGAAATTTATTTAAGAGGGTGTTCCTTCTACTCTTATGGAGGTTGATCTTGATATTGCTTAGAATCATTGTTTAACATACTTTGTGGGAGTTCAATTCCCAAGAGCTTATTTTTCCGTGATTTTTTTTCCTTGATAGAAAAAATAATATAATATATTGCATCATCAATAATAACATTAAGTAGTTTGAACCATGGTAAACCAAAACCTACAACAAAAAACACATCTTACCTTGGACGCGAAATGTATTGTACCTCGGTTACACATGTGAGGTAACGAAGTGCGACACGAAAACTTGTCACTTTACCCCTCGATTTCGGAATAATTGAGAGGACAGTTGATTTAGTCCTGGGTTCGATCCTCATGGTGTCCTTTTTGTAATTTTTAAATGGTGAAAATACATATCCCCTCGATTTTGAAATATAATCGACGAGTAAACAAGGTTGAGTTTATTATATTTAATGTGGATTGCTTGTTTAATTTAACCCTAGCTGAGCATATAACTTTTCAAATTGATTTACAAAATAATTATATGAACAATTATATTTGAAGAACAAATTACACTAATTACTTATTTTCGAGCATTTTGCAACTCGTCACTCATCTCATGTTCTTTAGATGTTAAAATCTCTTCAATGCTTCTTGTTTTCGTTTAGCTTTTTTTTAAATGCTTTTTCAATGAACAAGTATGGAAGAAAGTTAAACGAAAACTAAAATATAACAACAACAACAACAACAATAACATCAATATCTCAAGAACAACAATAAATAACAATGTCGTTAACATTATGTCAATCTAAACAACAAGTAATATTAAACAACAACTAAAAACAATCTCTCAATAAGAATACATTAACATCAACAATAAACCTATAACTTCAATCTCAATAAATCTATGACGTATTTATCTCAACAAAAACAACAACATATAACATCAATATCAGTTTAAATAACAACAACAACAAAATTAAACCTCTATTGTTCCGGGTCTCAACAACAACTACAAACAACAATAACAAACAACAACAAAAAATATCATCAACAACAACGTCAATATAACATGAATAGTGATGTTAGACATACCAGATTTATGAAGAAAAAGAAGAAGAACTCTAAACACATATCATCTCTGTATTTCCATGCTTTTTCAAAAGTTGGAAGATGATATGTTTATGGTTCTCGTCTAAAACTCTTCATTAGGATTATATGGATGTTATTTTAGTATATGTTTTTTAGACAAGTGAAACTTAACACTACAAGATAAGCATATATATATATATATATATATATATATATATATATATATATATATATATATATATATATATATATATATATATATATATATATATATATATATATATATATATATATATATATATATATATATATATATATATATATATATATATATATATAATATATATATATATATATATTATTATATATATATATATATATATATATATATATATATATATATATATATATATATATATATATATATATATATATATATATATATATATATAATTTTTTTTTTTTTTTTTGTTTGTTTAACAAAACTAAAGTGAAAAGTGAATTATTTTTTAATTAAAAATATAAATTAAAGTTGTTGGAATTTGATGTCTGAACCAAAAATTAGTTTACTTTTAGATTTTTTTAAAAGTCCCGTAGATAAACTAATTTGAAGTATAAATTGAAGTTATTAGGGTAACTTGAATTAATTTATCCTTGGATTTTCGAAGGAATAATTTCTTCATTTAAAAATAAAAATAAAACATGGCATGTTAAGGTATTATACATGAAGTGAAAACGTTGCTATAAAATATATAATATTTATAGTAGTGGAAACTGTTTTGAATTGATCCAAAGTAAATGTCACCGTATATACCTTATATTAGTAAGTGATTAATTGCATGAGGTACAAAACAGTGAGAATTAGTCGTAAGAAGAAACTTTGATGGAAATAGATCTTTGCATGATTTTCTATTCTATAGGGAAAATGCGGTAGTGGTATTTTGGTCATTGAAGAAGAAACTCCTGATAGCATGACCGTGACGTGTAATAGGTGTATGTTATAAAGTTACAAAATGAATGAGTTACGTGTAGTTCAAGTGAGTACCCCCAACAGAACAACACAACACATTCTTAGTTAATAACTATACTATTTACTTTCTCTCTGATCTCTCGCTACATCTGAAAGACTGTTCTTTTTTCTACTCTGGTTTGGTACGAGGATGTTGTTCTTTATCATGTTCTTCTACCCCACAGGTAAAACGAGGTACTTGTTTTTGTTCTTGTTATTGTTGTTGGGTTAATTAATTAATTAATTTATGGGTTTTTAATTTTAATTTGACAGTTTTTTTATGAGAGATTTATGAATGGGGTTTGTTCTCAAAAGAAGGAAGAAGGAAGAAAAAAGAAATATAGAGATCATGCGAAAGTCTTTCAAGGATTCTCTTAAAGCTCTTGAAGCTGACATTCATTTTGCCAATACACTGTAATTATTTGATTTTGTTTTATTTGATCTTGGATTACATAATTCAATTTGGGAGAACCTTTTCTTTAATGTTGCAATGTTGAAATTTGAAAAAAGTTGATTATTTTGATTAATCTTTGTGGCAAATATGTTTTGAATCAGAGCTTCTGATTATCCAAGTGATCTAGATGGTGCCTGCCTACAAATGAGATTGTCATATAGCCCAGCTGCCCATTTCTTCCTCTTTTTTGTTCGGTGGACTGACTGTTACCTCGCCGGAGCCTTAGGATTGCTTAAAATTCTTATCTACAGGGTGATTTTCTCAGCCTCTTAACGCTCAGCATGTTTGGAATAACTTATTTGAACTTATGTACTGATATAAACGTTTGTTAGACTTTTGGAGAGAACTTATAAAAACAGCATGACTATATATGATAGTGTAAACCCGAGATTGTTGTTTTGATGTCGTGCTAGTGAGTGATGTAGATGTTGCGTTTGTCGCAGGGCGTATAAAGATGGGAAGACAACTATGTCTATTTATGAAAGAAAAGCCAATTTGAAGGAGTTCTATGGTAAGTGCCAAGTGTTATTAAGAGGCGATTTTGATTTTGCATAAACAGGTGTTGATAAATGAATAAACAGGTGTGGTGTTTCCGTCTTTATTGCAACTTCATCCAGGAATCACTGATGTTGATGATAGGAAACAAAAACATCTGTGTGCTACTAAGTATACGCGTAAAGAGTTAATAAACAAAGGAAAGAGCACTGAAATTGATGCAGAAGAAGATGAAGAGTGTGATATTTGCATGGAAATGAACACCACCATGGTCGTATTGCCCAGTTGCAATCATTCAATGTGTATGAAATGCTACCGAGACTGGTAAGTCAATTGCGTTCATAGACGCAACCTTAAATGTGGTTGTGATGCTATTGTAGAGACCTCTAATCTGCTAGGTCACACTTGCTGAATCTTTTTTTGTCTTCTCGGTTTAGGCATGGAAGATCAGAATCTTGCCCATTCTGTCGGGACAGTCTTAAACGAGTAAACTCGGTGATCTTTGGATGTACATGAGCAGCAAAGAGATAGATGATCTTGCTTCAATCAACAAGGAGAATTTGAAAAGACTATTTAAGTACATAGAAAAGTTGCCTCTTGTTGCTAGACCCTATATTCATCTCATATCATCACAGCTTCTTGTTGCCCTCTTAGTTGGAGAAACATCACTCAAAATTTATTACTTGTAAATAATATATGTTACACTGTCTTTGCATTCCTTTAATTTTATTCATTGAAGCAGTAACATTGATTTTGTTGAGTACACACATAGTATAAAGCATTGATCAAATTGACATTTATAATATTTAAGCCTACACATTAGAGGCACAATGCACAAAGGAGAATTTAAGTACAACAATTGAGGGAAGCTCGAGTAGCCGGCAAAATATCATACCGGCAAAATAACAAGACAAGAGATATTTCAACCAATACAGATAACCAAAAGTAGCCTACTACAAAATACATAACAGCATCCCTCCATCAATGACACATCATATTTCAAGTTATGCACACCAATTTCAATCATCGTCTTCCTCGTCATCGTCCTCCTCCTCGTCTTCATCGTCGTCATCTTGGTGGTCATCCTATAGAACAAGAAAAGTTGTTTTGATAGTTTTTCTTTATTCAACTTGCTTACGATACATTCACGAAAGTGCGAGATGAATAAGAAATTTGGACTACCTCTCCACTTGCTTCATCTTCGTTATTAACTTCAGATTTGGACTTGTCTGATTCCTCCTCGTCATCCTCGACTGAACTTGCCGCCTATCAACATTAAGAAAAGTTAAGCGCATAAAAAAGACAATCAAAGAACAGAAACAAGAAAACTAGAAGCAGCGGATATGCTTACTTTGTTGTTATAAGCGTTCATAAGTTTTTCGTATTCAACTTTCCTTTTTGCAGCTTTGGCTTCATATGGAGCTTTTTTCCTTTACATTCAAAAGAAGAAAGTTAGAACAACACAGAATAAATTATAAATCACTTCATCAACAGAATATATCAAAGATTGCATTCTTACAGCCTTAGTCAAGGATTTCCATTTCTCTCTCCTCCAGCCTTCCCAACCTTCATCAAATTACACAACAAATTTTTCAGACACGACTTAGAAAAAGATATATCACGGTACACAACAGCTGAATTCAACGTGTAAACAACTTACCGCTGATACAGCCTTCACATTAGGATTTTCTGCCTTAAAAGTCTTCTGAAATCCCTCACTATGAAAAAACGGAAGAAGATAAGTCAGTATAACAAAACAAAAGAAGCTATAACAGAAAGTGAGAAACACAAAGATACAAACAGGAAGACAAAGAAAGCGCTGGGAGGCCTTTTTGTTTGTTAGGATCTTTCTTAGCCTTCTCCTTCTTAGGCTTCAGCGCACTCTTCTCGGGTTTAGAAACAGCCTTTCGCTTTCCTACTTTTCTGTAAACAACAGACATAGCTAAGTAAATCACAGGAAATCCAACACCAACACCAGAATGGACCAATTAACATGAGTTGCGATGATGATAAAGAAACTAACCGGTCATCAACTGGTTTCAGTACTTCCCTTGAAGTCTTTCCTGTACTCTTGCCCTTTGTCATCGTCTAAGCTCCTCTACCAAGAGGATCTACAGTTGAAAAAAAACAAAAGGAATCATCAACCACCAATATCAATTTCACAAGTGTTTGTACATGATTCTCTCTATGGTGATGGAATCAATTTCGCAACCATGAATATGGTCACCATCAGCCATATTAGAACAAGATTCTTTCAGATAACTTTCCCTTACAAATTTCAAACATCACATAACCCTCAATTCAGATATTTGACTAAAAAATTCAGCAATTTTTCAATCTTTAGTACTAAACTAAACAACTCCATGTTACATGTTACATACTTACATGCATAAATTCCTCATACTCACCAATCATCATCAATTCATCTTCAAGTGCTCAAAAAAATCACAAAAACCATACACAAAAAACAAACAAAAATAAAAACTTTCAAAACAGAAAATTAAGCAAAGAGAAATAGGAGAAAAAGGGTTACCTTGAAATAGATGAATTGAAGAAGAGAGGATCTTCAACAAACGAAGCAGAACCGAACACAGCAAGCTGAGAATCAAAGCGACAAAGGTGTTAGGAACAAAACAAAGAGGGTACAAGTACAGCCAAATACGACCGGAATAGCCGGTAATGTTTTCAGTGACTTTTAACGCTGATATGAGTCAACCCATATCCATAATGAATGGAGTTTATCGGAAATAGCCGGTAGTCGTTTGAGGAAGATATTCTCATCAATGATTATTATTAATTACTAATTATTGACATTACTTTTCTATCTTTTTTTCTTTCAATTCTCTAATTTTTAAAAAGAATATTTTTTTGATAATTTAGAAAAGAAATAATACTAGTAATTGCCTCAAAAACAATAAATTTTTATTGAAAAACAACTATCAGAATATGGTATTTCTTTTAAACTTTATTTCTCTGTTTTTTATAAATATTTTAAATAATTTTTAATATGATTTTGTATTCAATATAACTTTTGAAATTATTAATTTATTGGATACAAATAATTTTAGAATTTAATAAAGATATCCATTCTCATATAATAATTTTAAAATTTTAATTTAATTTGACAGAATATATATTGTCATAATTTTTAAATAAATATATTATTCTTTTTATAAAATAAATACACATTGTATTTTTAAAGTAGTAGTGTTTATGACGGTGACACAGAAAATC